TTTATATATATACATGTAAATTTGAGCATGCATTTGAATGCTCCAGGAGATAGCTGGACATAGAACTGCTGGGCAGAAGGACAAAAGCAATTAAAAATGCTAATAGATGGGGCCCGCCCGGTGGCGCAAGCGGTTAAGTGCGCGCTGTGGAGACCCGGGATTCGCAGGTTCGGATCCCGGGCGTACGTACACCGACGCACCGCTTGTCAAGCCATGCTGTGGTGGTGTCCCATATAAAGCAGAGGAAGATAGGCATGGATGTTAGCCCAGGGCCAGTCTTCCTCAGGAAAAAGAGGAGGATTGGCAGATGTTAGCTCAGGGCCGATCTTCCTCACCAAAAAGAAAGTTAACAGATGTTGTCTAACTGCTTTCCAAGGTGGTATTATATGAAAGACCTGTTTTCCTATATTCTTGCCAATACTTCATATTAACAGATTTAAAAATTTTTTGCCAAATCAATGGATGAAGTTTTAATTTGCATTTCCCTGATTACCAGTAAAGTTGAACACATCTTTTTGCATATTTATTGACTTTAAAAAAATATATTACCAGACCAAGTTGTGTGTGAACACAAAAAATCCAATCCACTGGACAACAAAACCTAAATGAATTCAGACATCCAAAATGAGGTCTTTGTTCCCAAGGAATTCATATTCGAGTTTAAAACACTTGAAAAATTCACATGTAAAGAGTATTAATCTAAGGCAGTTTATGATACCCAAAGAAAGAGTAAAAATAAAAACAAAGGTCTATAAACTTTCAGAGGAGAGAAACCTGAAGGGCTGTGACTTGAGTTGTGACTTCATGAAAGATTAGGGTCTTTCCATGGAATCTGCAAAGTTACTGAGGAGTTTGGGGTAAAGATAGAGATTGTTTTAACCCTACTGTGGCCCCTTCAGTGTGCACATTTTGGTTACTCACAATATTTATTTCCATTTCTGAGAAATGTTCATATCCATTGCCTATTTTTCTATTGGGTCTCTTTCCTATTGATTTATAACAGTTCCTCATTTTTGGTTATTTATCTTTAGTCTGTTATATATGATCCAAATATTTTTCTTAGCTTGTCACTTTAATCTTTTAGTTTTGTTCATGGTGTGCTTTGTCATCAGGAGAGTTTATTTTTTATGAAGAGCAATATTTTGATTCTAACAGTGTCAGATTTAGAAGCACTACTTTACCAACTCTAAGAAACCTAAATAGTTTACCCAGTCTCAGATGAAACATTATGGTCCATAAATGTGAGAATATGGAAACACAGAAGATTTAATGACAAAATACTCTGCATTTAGCTCCTACCACCCAACAAGTAACAGAAATAATAATCTGTGGGAAATTATAGCACTGCCAATTTCACAAAATCTCATGTTGAAGTCTATCTCACTCACCCACAGACTTGTCTGCCATGCCCACATCTCTAGATGTCCAGCGACAAAATCCACAGGCCAGGTAATAGGCTTTCTTCATGGCGGTCTTGGCTGGGTCATCTGGAAGCTGTGTGGAGATGCTTGTTGCCCGGGTGGAGAGGGTGTGCATGCAGCCGGGACAGTCAAAGCAGTTGGCACATCTATGACACAAAAAATACAACAATTCCTTTATTCAACAAATAGTATCGAGAACCTACTATGTGCCAGACATCGTTCTAGGTGTTAGGAATTCAAGAGAGAACTATAAGGGGAGGGTGTCTCTCAAGCAAAAAGAAATCAAGTATTCCTGAGACTCTTATGAATTTTGTTTTAAAATTTCAAAAGTATTAAACATTCATTATTATTATTTTTTTTTTAAAAAAGGGCAATCATCACCAAAGTTCCTGAAGAATTAGAGCCTGACCCAATCCTACTCCACAGAGGGAATCACTGTTAACAGTCTGGAGCTAACTATTCCAGACTCTTTATTGTACAGATCACAAAGATTTCTGAGGAAAAGAGAAATGTCACAGCTTATGCCTTTAGAGAGGACAGACCAATTGCACAATGGAAAACTGAGAGGCAACAATACAATAAGCCGTGAAACTGGGTTTGGAAAATAACTGCTTGTTTTCTGTGCCAGAGAGCTGAAACAGACACCACGCAATGCTGTCACACTGGACCGGTTCAGGAGTAGAGCATTTTTGGGGCTTTCAGTTCTCTCCTTAGGCACCACTCTTCCCAGCGCTCAGCCAACATCTCCCCGCTAGGGGTCCCTGGGCCTTAATGCTTTTAACTTTCCCAGCACCCGAGATTATCAAGATTTCCCCTCCAGTCCTGGACTTGCCCTGAAGCTCCGTCCCATAACTCCAATTATCTGCGACATTTTGCCATCTGGATAATATCCTCAAATGAGAATAGTAATAGTACCCACCTCACAGCAATATTTTGAGGATTAAATGATAAAATTAATGTGTGGACAGCATACCAAACGGTGTCTAGCTTATCAGGAACTATTTCTCGGGGACAGGAAAGACAAATAACAGTGGTTCACCTCCATGGAGGTATAGGGGTGTGACTAGTAGCAAAGGCCTTTCACAACAAGCTAAAAACCAAATGGCACCCAGTAATGAGCACACCTACTACCATTCTCCAACAAAAGGAACCAGGGCTCCCTGGAGAAATGGCTAATTCTAGGACTGAGGCAGAAAACATACAGGATAAGCCTGGAGTATCTTGCAGTAACAGAAAGTAAGAAAGTGCTCCAGTGAAAGAACAACTCCCTTCCTTCCCCCATACAATGATGGGGGTATGTCAAAGGGATACAGGAACCTACCGAAAGATCTCCCAGTGGCCAAAGCTGGAACAATTTGAGCAAAAAAAAAATAAACTAGTACTGGATTATTACCTAAATAAATATTCATGAGCCCATACTGCTTTAAGAACATAAATAAATAGGAAAGAAGAGAAAAATCTTCCATGCAAAAGAATTGCAAATAATGTATGTAGACAGCCCTCACGAAGGGGGAGCATAACTCCCCACTATTTAAGTGTGGGCTGTAACAGTACTTTTCCTTCCAAAGAGAACATTATGGAGAAGGAGAAAAAACAAAGAGTAACTTTACATTAGAGAAACCTGACAAACACTAGCTCAAGCCAGGTAATCAAGGTTAACATCAACAGTGATAAGTCATATTGATAGTATGTACCCTTGATATAATGTGATGAGAGATGCACTTTACTTCTGTGGTCCTCCTCCCCAAAACACATTCCCCCAGCTGACAAGAAAAACATTAGACAAATTCCAATTGAGGGGCACTCTACAAAATACCTTACCAGTACTCCTCAAAACTTTTAAGGTCATCAAAACCAAGGAAAGTCTAAAAAAATGTCACAGCAAGAGGAGCCTAAGGAGACAAGACTATTACATATAATGTGGGTATCCTGAATAGGATCTTGGAACCTAGACAAAGGAGATTAGGGAAAAACTAAGGAAATCTAAATAAATTGTGGAGTTCATTAATAATAATATAGCAATATTGTTCATTAATTGAGACAAATATACTGTAATAATGTAAGATCTTAACAATAGAGGAGACTGGGTATGGGGCAAATGGAATTCTCTGTACCATCTTCACAATAATTCTTAAGTCTAAAACTGTTCTAAAATAGAAAGTTTATTTTAAAAAATCAAAGGACCTTTCATTTTTGGCAAAGTTAATGCTAAAAAATGAAAAACAGCTAATTAAAAAAGAGAGTTAATCTCATGAAAAAGAAAGTTAGAAAAAGAAAAAAGAAAGTGAATCTCTTTCTAACCAGCTATTAAAAAAACAGTTGAGGGGCCGCAGAGTGGCGTAGTGGTTAAGTTCTCTCGCTCCGCTTCAGCGGCCCAGGGTTTGCAGGTTCGAATCCCGGGCGCAGACACACGCATCGCTCATCAAGCCATGCTGTGGCAGCATCCCGTATACAAAATGGAAGAAGATGGGTATGGATGTTAGCTCAGGGCTAATCTGTCTCAGCAAAAAGAGGAAGATTGAGAAGCGATGTTAGCTCAGAGCCGATCTTCCTCACCAAAAAATTAAAAAAAAAAAAATTAAAAAATGGCTCTGCAAGGGCACACAAAGGAAGGAGAGAGCACCAGGTGCACTGACATGGCTGCACCTGTGTGTGTGCACGTGCACACTATTAAAAAAAAAAAGCTGAGGAAAAGAGAAAAAACGGATCTTGATCTTACCTATTCTTTTTTAGTTTGGCTTCAGCCGATGGCATATTTTCTAAGCAACTGGGACAATAATGGGAGTCCACCTAGAAAGAAATAAGAAATTAAAAAATCAGAGGAAAAGAAACTCAGTTTGGCTCATGTATACATCTATACCAAATAGTGTTTGTTGTTTTTTTTTTTTTGCTGAGGAAGATCAGCCTTGAGCTACCATCTGTGCCAATCTTCCCCTACTTCACATGTAGGTCGCTGCCACAGCGTGGCTGACGAGTGGGTAGGTCCACGCTTGGGATCCAAACTGGCGAACCGGGGCCGCTGAAGAGGAATGTGCTGAACTTAACCACTAAGCCACAGGGTCGGCCCCCCAAATAGTGAATTTGCAGCAGCAGAAGGTGAGAAATCACTGACCTGGCAAAGAACCCAGACCGTTTTCAGCTCAGGGTTTATTCTTCAATCACGTTTTTTCTTACCCTCTGGATTTCCCAAAACTCTTCTATTTTTCCCTTCTGATCTTTCTTCTTCCCTTTCATCAGGGTTTTATGTATTAGATGTGTTAAGAGTTGTCTATGTAAAAGAAGAATTCTATGATAATCTAAAGAATAGATTAATAAATAAAAAACCCTATTCGTGAAGCTGTGATCAAATATTCTTCTATACAGTTTGGCGTCATTGGACTACAATAACTTGACCACACTTAAACTGTTAAGGGAGATTAAAAAAGTTTTCTCCTTATTGAGGTAATACATGTTCACTGAAGAAAAGCATCAATTAACATTTACAAAGTCAGCTACAGCCAACCAATTAGAGATTTTAAATGGCAAATTAAACTACTAAGCTAATAAGATAGTCTTACTGTATTTAACCCAAAACCACAGTATAAAAATTAAATTCATTGTATTTTTTAATGAATAATTATTTTCTTTAATGCAGCTGGATCCTATTTGACAATTCTAGAACTCTAGTCAAGCGCAGATGGAAAGACAGTCACTTGAACATAAACACTATGATGGAAACCGGCTTCTTTCATCATCTGCTATAAACAGGAGCATCTTTGAAAAAATAAAGTTGCTGCTCAAATAATCTTCAGGAAAATAAAATATAGTACTGCTAACTAATATTTGCACTTACTCATTAAAAAAGGCAAAAAATAATTTATTCCTTCTTGTCCCCTTTCCAAATTATGCTTGTCCCTTCACGTGTAGCTCCAATCCCAGGTTCTCCATTAGAACTTTCTGGACTGCTCCAGCCCTCACTAGCCTCATCCTTCTCCAAACCCTAATGGCTTCCACTTCACAGGGACACATCAGTCTGTAAAAGATGCAGTCACAGACTGAATGTCTTAGTTGAAGAGACCCTTAGAGATCAAGCAGACTGAGCTCCATAATGACCACCAAATGAGAATCTAATCCAATAAATTCTGGAGGTGGAGCTGGAACAAGGCAGCATTTAAAAGAGAAAGGACCTGCCAAAGAGATACACACACAGCTCTAACAGAGGAAAAAGTACAAGAAATATCATGTATATAATATGGTATTGATTTTTCTCTTCTATTAACTGCTTTCTCTATTTTTAATATTATGAAAAATATCCCCAATAATAATTATTAATAATGTGTAAAATGGCTTACAGCATAGCACATGTTTTCATATGTGTTTTTAACAAGGATCTTCAGTGAAGTTCTCTTGAGTCAGGCTGCTAGGTTTCAATTACTGGTCCTCCCTCCCAACCCCCAATTTTTGGCTGTATGACCTAGAGCAGGCATTGTGTGTTTGTTTCTTTAACTGTAAAATGGTTTTTTAAAAAAGGTATCCATTCTATTGTTTTGTAGGATGATAAAAGGGATAACGTAAAGCGCATGGCATATGGAATACTGAATAAGCCTAACTATTATTACAATCAGCTTTTCCTTCACTAGACTGAGTTACTCAACAGCAGCATTTATGTCTTACTCATCTTTTAATCCCCAAAGGTTACTGAAGAAACAAGATGTGCCAAGCGCCGCAGAAGTTCTGGGGTTTTGTTATTTGGTGATTTTTTACGGGATGTCGTCTTTCACGTTCTGAGCGATCCCACTTCGAACGCCCACTTGTGACTGTGAAGACAGCACCGTACCCTCAGGAGAAGCGCCAGGAAGGTAACACTTCGAACTTCTTACATGACAGACCGTATTCTAAGCGCTTTTCACTCAGCTCACCCCATCCTAACCTCTTCCCTGCTGCAGGCCTTCGCCTGAGCCAGGAAACACAGCAAGGCAGTCTGATGAGGGCCCCGTTTCCGGTTAAAGTAGAGGCAGAACTTCCAGGATGGGAGGGGCATGAATGACAATGCCTGCACCCCCGCCCCAATCAATACTGGAAAGACAGTATCTCGCCCCTCAAGCGTCCTGAACTAAGCACCCCCACACCTTTTTCTCCCCAACCCACCCAACCCCCCCAGGCCAGGGTCCCCAAAGTCAAGTCTGTCCAATCAGAGGGCGCTCTACAACCAGGAGATCTGCTCAGCCCCACCCAAGGCCGCTCCTCCTTTCCAAGAGACAAATTATAAGCAAATTAAATCGCAGGCAAATCTGAGTGACGGAAGACATAGCCAATCAGCAAGCTAGGAAAATGACTCCCCGCCTCCAACCGGCGGAACTTCCCCGCCGGTCGCGGTGACTAGGGTGAACGCCCCCCCTCCCCCAACACACACACTCTTCATGGGACGACGGCGTTACCTCGTGAGACACACATTCCAGCGACCGCAGCTCGCTACAATAGCGGCAGAAGTAAAGCTGCGACAGCGGGGCCCGAACCTTCTTTTCTCCCTGGACTAGGTAGAGAACCCGCTCCGATTGCAGCAAAGACGCCATCTTGGGGGGGGGAGGAGCCAACGACGCTCCCACCGCATCACGTGACCCGAGCCAGCGTTTTCCTCGCCGCCTACCTCACGTATTTCAACGTAAACTTTGACGTAAGGTTTCCGATGTAGGGGGGTCAAAGTGCGCGTGCGTAGCTGGCTTCCCGGGTTTCGGCAGCCCCCTGGGCCCGCCCCCTAGTATTTTAGTGAGCTTCAGCCGCCTGGGCGGAGCTCAGAGCTTTCTATCGTTAAGTACCGCGTCGCGGATCAATCCAGACAGGCTCAGTGCTCTCTTTTTCTTTGTTTCTTCCAGAAACGAAGGCTGCTCTTTTGTTTTATTTACAGCTGCCTCTCCCGCCCTAGCCTTCCAGGCAAACCTCCAGGGGGTAGATGGAGGGTCTCAGTGGAAAGCTGAGAGTCACACCAGCACTCTCTGCTGACATTATGTCGTTTCAGATTTCTTAGACTGTGAGCCCCTCCACCGAGGAGGCCGTATCTCATTCATTTCCAGGTTTCGAGTACTTAGCAGTAGGACTAAGTCTATATTGTGGGCGTTCAATAAGTATCGATTAGTGAGGGAATGAAATCAATGAATGAGCGATGTTGTTAGGTGTGTTTACATTTTTCTAATGCATAAACTAAGGCTTAGGTATGTAAGATGATCACTTAGAACTGGCCTAGCAAAGACTGGAGCCCATGTTACCTGCCGCCAGCTCTGTGCTTTTCTCATTGGACTAGTGTTGTATTATTACCTGTCTGACATTGGAGTTGGTGATTGAAGAGAAATGGAACTGAATAATGTGAGCTAACATTTACTGAGCACTTTTTGAGTGCAGGACACTGGGTCAAAACTTTACATTGTCTCATTTAATTTTCACAAAAACTCCAAAGGGCGGGTTCTATCATTATCTCTCTTTTACAGCGCAGGGAACTGAGGATTAGAGCATTGCATTGGTTTGTCTAAGGTTTCCTAAGTAGCCGTAGAACCCTGTTCTGACTCCACAGCTTGCATGCTTTACCCCAGTGCATACTGCCTCCAGCATATTTTCTTATTTTCTTTTTTCCAGCTTTGTTGAGGTATAATTGACAATTAAAAATTGTATATATTTAAGCTGTACACCTTGATGATTTGATATACATTGTGAAATAATGAACATAATCAAGCTGATTAACATATCCATCGCCTCACATAGTTACCATTTTCTTTCTTTTTTTTTTTATGGTGAGAACACTTAAGAGATACCCTCTTAGCAAATTTCAAATATATAATACAGCATTGTTAACTATAGTCACATTGTTGTACTTTAGATTTCCAGAACTTATTCATCTTGCATAACTGAAACTTTGGACCTCTTGACTAACACCTATTTCCTCCTCCCCCAGCCTTTGGCTACCACCATTCTGTCTGCTTCTATGAGTTTGACTATTTTAGATTCCATATATAAGTGAGATTGAAACCGGCAAACAGTTAGCCATTGATGATTAACTAGCTAGCAACTAAAGTTTTTTTTTCCTGTTTGCAATTACTGATTATAGCTTTTAGCTGTTTACCTACCCATTGTTAACTGTGCTGTTTGGGCAATATGCTATCTGACTCCCACTAGGTTCCTATAGATAACATCTCCCTGGAGCCTGGATCACCATGCTGTTGACGCAAATAATCCATAATCAATCTATAAATCAAAATTGGGGTGAGTTTATTATGAGCCAAATTTGAAGACCATATAGCCTGGGGGCTTCCTTCCCCAAGGAAGGAAGTGGGGTGTACAGCGTGGTTATATACCATCAAAGAGCATGTATCACATATGATTGCAATGTCCCTTTTACAGTAGTCACGAGATTGCCCTGTCAGATTGCCCTGTTGGCACAGCAATTGATGGACGAAGCAGGTAGCAGGTCTGCTGTCTCGATGGGCGTGGCAGGTAGCAGGCCTGTTGTCTCAAGTTGGGTGGTCACAGGATGAGCGCAGCAATCAAATCTTAGCCTAGGGAGAAATGCTTATCCTTAAGGAAATGCCAATGTGGGGGAAGTTGCATTCTTATCTTAAGGGCATTTGTTCTTGTCTTTGGGACACGTTAATTGCTTAAAGCAGATATACAATGCAAGTTCAAAGGCCACAGGCCCTTTTGGAAAAACAAGCTCAGGCCAACTTAGTTTTACACTAAATGGCTTCCTCATATGCTCTAATATATCCTATTGCTTACCATTTACTTATCAATGGTAATGGGTGTTTGAGTTGTTTTTCAGGAATTAGAACCCCTTGTCCACTTTAGGCTGGTTGAGACCAACCCACCAACTGGGCCTGCACGGATATCTGATAAGTGGCATTTTGATGTCAAGAGACTAAAAACTCCACCCTCAGATCATGCTAATGCCACCATTTTGTGAACATGCGTCCTATGAAGAGCCACAAAGTCTGACTACGCTTGTGCAGATCATCAATTACCTCACCTTTCCTCACCTCCAATCATGTATCTCACATTTCAGACCACCTTGCCCCCCATCCCTTAAATATTCCTGAGTCCCCATTTTTGGGGAAGCAGATTTGGGACTCATTCTCCCGTTTCCTCACTTGGCTGCCTTGTGATTAAACCTTCTCTCTGCTGCAATCTCATCGTCTTGGCATTTGGATTTCTGGGCACAGGCAAAAAGGAAGCTGGTTTGGTAACAATATCATGCAGTATTTGTCTTTCTAGGTCTGGCTTATTTCACTTAGTATAGTGTCCTCCAGGTTCATCCATATTGCTGCAAATGGAAGGATTTCCTTCTTTTTTAAGGCTGTATAATATTTCATTGTGTGGGTATACATATGAAAATTTGTCTATTCATCTGTCTACATTTAGGTTTTCATCTTTATCTATTCATCTGTGTACATTTAGGTTATTTCCATATCTTGGTGATTGTGAATAATGCTGAAATGACCCGTGGAAGTGCAGGTATTTCTTCAAGATCCTGATTCCATTTCCTTTGGATATATACCCAGAAGTGGGATTGCTGGATCATATGGTAGTTCTATTTTTAATTTTTTGAGGAACCTCCATACTGTTTTCC